ATACTTCATAAGTTTGGCCTGTCTCTGGTACAAAAATTCAAGAAAGGCATAGCACAGGAACAAAAGTGCCACCAAGCTTACTTATCAATGAACACACATAAATTCTGCACACTATGTCATAGTACGGAAATGAATACAACATTGCATTGAAAGTTACAAAAGGACTGTACTCCAAACTGTCATTTGTATGTGGAGTACTGCACTGTAAATCCTGAGTCCTCGAATGTCCCACCACCAGGCTCCTCCACGCTGGTCAGAGTCAGAAACCGTTACAGAGACATCTCTGCAGCAGAGGGAGGAGCACTGAACGGCCAGCGTTTCCCCACCCCCACTTACAGGCAGGTGCCCCGGATTACAAGCTCCAGTGTGCCGTGCAGCAGACTTCCTGAATGGGAGCAGTTGGGAGGAGCAGGGCGGACACATACGTGGAGGACGATGGACTTGGGGGAGACGTGGAAGGGGACACATGGAGGAGACCCGGGCGGAAGCTGCTTTTGGTCCTGGGCAGCTGTTATTTGGGTCGATAATGTGGTATTTTGAATTCTGAGTCTCTCCTCAGTCCCAGCTCTGGGAGCTGCCTGACCCCTTTCCTGTGGTCCCCGCCAGGGGTGCCTGAGACTTGCCGCAAGCTTTCGGGCCTCAGCAGCCTGCTCTAGGCCATGCCTGTTGGGCTGGGCGTTTGCCCACGAGGGGATGGGTAACTTTTGGAGTTTCATTGAAAACTATCATTTGAAATCGTTTCTTCTCTTTCTCCACACACACCAATTCTATCACAGATCTCTGCTACCAGGAGTCACTTCCTTGGCCTTTGTGCACATGCATGGCCGAATCCCTATTAGCACATGCATCCCTTAACAGTTGGGGGTTCCTTGGGTGCCGTTTGGTTGCATGCTCACAAAACCATTCATCTGCCTCCAGACTCGGAGACGCTGTGGAGGAGGAAGCAGGCGGTGGAGGCAGCCATGTACTGGAAATGTGATCTGTTTCATGCATTCGAGCGCCGCCCTTGCCCGGGGACTTGCTTCTCTCCATTGTTTTGTTCCAGGCAGCGTGCAGCACCCACATCCCCACTGGCCCTCGGCGGCTTGCCCTGGCTGACACCCCGTGGAGCAGAGGTGAGCCCTCCCTGCCAAGCCCGGCTCTGGAGTCACCGGCTCATGCTCACTTCTCGACCACTGGCACTTGTTTGAAGCCTCGGGGGGCGGTTGGTACGTGGCAGTAGTTGACTTGAATACCAGCCATTCCAGTGCCCATGTTATTAAGGAAATTGCATTTTATCCAAGACTTTTTTGTTTTTCCTTTGTTTATTGTAAAATATAATATAAAGTGTATGATTTTGATCGTCTTAAGTGCACAGTTCAGTGGCACTTAAGTTCAGAGCGTACACACCGTTACAGACACACACACAACCCAGCAGCCATGCTCAGAACCCGCCTCTTCCCCACGTGGCCTCTGTCCCCACAAGATACCAAGTCTGCTGTCCCGGCACCTCCTTTCTAACTTTTTTTAAAGATTTTATTTTTGCATAGAAGAACTGGGGTGCAGGCCAGAGGTGGGGGGGTGAGAGGACTCGCCAGAGACAGAGCGGGGAGCAGAACAGGCGGGTCTACTGAAATACACTGCTGAGGGGAGCAGCGGGGAGACAGGGGAGGTCTGCTGCACCCTGGGTAGCTCCCTGGCCAGGGGTTGGGCTCAGGCCACAGTGGTGACAGTGCTGAGACTAACCCCTAGGCCACCAGGGAGGCCCCTGGCACCCCCGATGTGCTCTGTCTCTGTGAATCTGGCTGCTCTGGGAGCGGGTGCCAGTGAGGTGAGCACCTGCCTTTGTGACTGGCTGATTTCACGGAGCATCGTGCCCCCAAGGCCCTTCCGTGTCGCCGTGGACTCACATGCCCTACCTTTTCAAGGCTGAGTAACATTCCGTCGCGTGGGTAGGCCACACTGGGTCTGGCCCTCGTCAGTTACCGGGCACTGGGGCGGCTTTTGGCTGCTGTGAACACACCCAGCGCGGGCCGCTTCAGTGACTTTTCGGTGCGTGCGGATGGCAGGTTCTCCTCTGAAGCAGTACCACTAATTATAGTAACAAACTCCCAGTTGAGTCACGCCACACCGTGACATGCACCAGCTCATGCTCACTTCTCAGCTGCCTTCTGGGTCGTCCTCGCTAACACTTTCATTTCGAAATGTATAAGGACGCTTAGCAGGGACGGCGACCTGCCGCTTTCCTCCTGGTGAGCGCGGGCGCGTATCTGTGTTCACGGCTTCATGCAGTCGGCCGCCAAGTGTCCACGGGGTGACTGGGACGGAGCAGCGACGGGAGGGCACACCCGTGCCGTGCGTGCTGCTCACCCTCTCCTGGAGGTTCTTCCAGTTCCATAAAACACATTTGGAAGTTTTCCTGGACTTTTAAAATTATTTTTTATTTATTTATTTATACAAGCACTGGGGACAGTCAGAAGCGCGGGAGGGTGAGAGGATTCACCAGAGCCAGAGCGGGGAGCAGAGCAGGCAGAAGGCCCGAAGGACACTGCTGAGGGGAGCAGCGGGCGGCAGGAGAGGTCTGCGCGCCATGTGGAACCCTCGCCAGCGGCCAGGGATCGAACTGGCGCTGCAGAGGCTGCGGACAGCTTCATAGTGCTGAGACTTATTGCCTTGAGCCACCACAGAGGCCGTTCCTGGACTTTCTTGACTACACTGTAACGACCCATCTGTGAAAGACCAGAAATAATCACAAGAGGGGTCTCTGGGCCCGAGGCTGCCGTAGGATGACTGGCTGATAGTTCATCCCCCTTTCTTCTCTGTCCAGCTGTTCTCTATCTTCTGGGTTGATTTCCCTGCTGCCACCTGTGGGAGTGACCTTGGACCTTCAACCCCATAGCCCATGGCAGGGACGGGTCCTCCCAGTGAGGGTTCAGCAAGACCAGAGCAAAGCTCCCTCCGACCCATGCTGGCCTCGGGTGAAAGTGGCTCTAGAAGGAGGCACCCCAAGGAGCCCGAGGCTTCCCCTCAAGGCTGGGGACTTCCCCCCTCCTTATGCCCTCCCTCCCTCCCCTTACACCCCGCGGGCGTTTGGTGTGTGTCTGAGGCTGTTTTATTAATAGTACCCCAAAGCCAGAAGCAAGCTCGAGCTGCATCTCTCGAGGCCCGGACCAGTGCTCAGAGGAGATGGTGCTGAGGGTGCGTACCGGGCCCAGAAGACCACGTGCTGCACGCTGCCACTCGCACACAGAGTTCTAGAACAAGCAAACCGATGCGCAGTGAGAGGCTCACCTTCGGGAGCTGGGTGGCGCCTCCACTGTGCGCGCCTGGCACCAAGTGTTCAGACCCAGCTGTTTCCTGCTCTGTGGGAGGGCGCTGCTGCTGAGACTGGATGATGGTTGTGGATGTGGAGGGCACGGGCAACGCCCGCTTCACGGATGATCCCGTGGTGTCTCCACCTGGCCAAAGCTCCCGGGTGACGCTGGCTTCGCGCTTCTCCCTGGACTTCTGTCAGTGTTTCCTTTATATATTTTGAGCCTGTTTGACCTTATTGCTAAAATGTTCTTGATTCGCCCAAGTCAGTTTTCTGTGATGGCGACAGAGCCCTGCCAGCTGTTTTGGTCAGGGGTGCTGGTGTGTTTTTCTCACCCCTGCACGTGTGATCTTTCCAAGAAGCGCGTGTCAGGAGTTTCAGGGAACAACTGGCTTCTCATCCACCAGGACACCCTCTGTCCTCTCTGATCCGTCTCCTGCATACGGAGTGCTCTCCCAGGTGACCTCTGTCCCTTTCTGTGCCTTCCCCTGCGGCACCTCCCAGCGGGGGTCCCAGCGCAGCACTGTGGCTGGTGCAGGCTCAGCCCCTCCCCCATGGTGTCTGCAGTTAAGAAAACCCGCGGGGGCGGGGGGGGGGCGCTTTCTGAACGGCAAAGGTGGGTGTAGAGTCAGGACCTGGACACGGTGCAGGTTCTCTGATCCAGCAGACCCGGTCAAGGAGGAGTCAGAGTCCCCAGTGGTTTTTTTGCAGGTCTTTTATTGGGATTTACCCAGTACACGGCAGGCAGGGGTGCTGGGGGGCGGGAGGCTGGCAGGCCTCCCAGCCCCCAGCACGTCTCCACTCTGTCTGGGCTCTCTGGCCTTCTCTCTGCTTCTCTGCTCTTCCATTCATTCTGCTGCTGCTTGGCTTCTGCTGGCGTCCCCGTGACGCCGCCCTTAAAAGCCCAGTCTCAGCCCAGGTGAATCCCATCTACCTGTGCCCACACCCCACTCCAGGTGCCGCCATCAGGCATGCGCTCAGGACCGCAGGGTTCCGTCATCTCTCCTGATGGCAGGAGGGCAGGAAAGCCTGACATTTTTTCCTTACCCTACAGTGGGGACTTGCAAATGCAAACTCTTCTGAATGGCCCCACCTGGCAAGGGCAGCGAAGTGAGACGCTGGGCCTGGCGGGCACAGTGGCCTCTCGTGAGTCCTCGCAGCCTGACGTGCGTGAGCCTGTGCGACCCACCTCTCGTGGCACCAGGGGAGGCTGCAGGTGAGCAGAGGGGCTGAGTGGGCAGCAAAGGGGGAGCTCTCCTGGCACTGGGCTCCTGCAGCCCCCAGGAGGAGGATCTGGTTGGTGCCAGGTGCCAGTCACAGCACTTGCAGGCACATACACCGCATGGGAAACAGGGAATAGCCAGTAGGCTGGGATCGGGGGGCATCTAAACCCGCAGGGTGGCCACCCCTGGGGGTCCGCCCAGATCTGCTAGGTCTCTTGCCTTTGCAAGGGAGACCCCTGACCCGCCAAGATGGTGGTGGTGCACAGCCTGGCAGAGGCCCCAGGTGCAGGTGGGCGGGGCCGGAGAGGAGAGGCAGAAATAAAACCAGAAGTCAGCAGTTCTCAAGACAAACAGGGCAAAGATCAAAGTTAACGGCGGGAAACGAAGAAAAGACTAGAAAAACATGAGAGGCGTTCCACAGAGCTGCCACACTAGTGCAGCTCGGGAGTGGCCTGCCCTGCAGGAGCCGGCCCAGAGCCAGCCAGCCTGTCCCCAGCCCTGGGCAGAGGCCCTGGGTCCAGGACCCTTGATGGTGAGGGCTTGTGTTAGCGAGGAGCGAGGGCCTCGCGGCGGCCCCAGGCCCCCAAGCTGCTGCTCCGAGACATCTTCAGGGGTGAGGGAAAGGCTTCAAGTGCCCGCCGCAAAGGGGCAGCTCCCCGGGGTCCCAGTGTGTCCCCTCCAGCACAGGGATGAAGAACGCTGACTGCACACTGCCGAGAAGGCCCAGCTTTCACTTCTTTTTTTTTTTTTTAAAGATTTATTTATGCACACAAGAACTGGGGTGCAGGCCAGGGGTGTGGAGGTGGGTGGTGAGAGGATTCACCAGAGACAGAGCGGGGAACAGAACAGGCAGACGGACTGAAATCCACTGCTGAGGGGAGCAGCGGGGAGACAGGAGAGGTCTGCTGCACCGTGTGGGTTACTCCCTGGCCGGCCGGGGATCGAACTCGTGCTGCAGAGGCTGCAGATTGCTTCCCAGTGCTGTGCTTACCGCCTTGCGCCACCAGGGAAGCCCAGCTTTCACTTCTTAATAGCAATGATTACTTTGCAATTAAGCTTATGAGGCAAATGACCCGAAGTGGCTACAGATGTTAAGATTTGACGAAGCTGAGGTGCTGACAAGTCTAACTGAGGCACCCGGAAGACTGTCGTAAGCAAGAACAGAGCCCAAAAGCGCTGAAGAAAAAGCGACGTGGCCACGTCACTGTGCCTCCATGTCACTTGCAGTGGCTGCCAGCCCAAAGCCAGACCAGCCAGAGACTGTTTATACCACAGAAAGGGTCCCTGGAAGTCGAGAGACAGTTCCAACGTGAGGGAAGGATGAACACAAGTAACTGACAGAAGAACAAATCCAAACGTACACACAGGCCAACTTGCACATGTGCGTGCACCATGTGCACCTGCGGACAGGGCGCGATCGGAGTCGCGACGAGATCACGTTTCGCCCGTCTCACAGCGCACGACGGGAGACAGCGCTGACAGGTGGACGCTGTCGCGTGGTGATGAAAAACACAACCCCTGCCCTTCGACCAAAGGCTCAAAGGCTCAAGGCCAGCCACTCCAGGACAGGATGGGCGGCCGTGCAAGCCCCTGGAAGTCACTGCTGCCGAGGGGGTAGGGCACAGGCCCTGCGGGTGCTCAGGTTCCCCTGGGATTCTCACGGCCTCTCAGGACTGCCACCCCGTGAGCAAAAGCAACACAGCTATTTTCACTGGGGACAAATCCCGCGCCAGGGCTGGCAAAGGCAGGACAAGGCCAGGTGGCAACGCCGTGTGACCTCTTCCGGGAGGAGCGTAGGACACAGCGGGAGCGCTGTGGCCAGGAGGCAATGCTGGGCTTGACACTCAGTGCTGCAACCCACAGCCCAGTCCAACTTCTAGGGCCTGTTTCTGTGCCATGAGGGGTTGGCGCAGATGGTGTCAAAGTCCTGCCTGGCTTCGACAGCCATAAAGCATGAGGTCACACAGAGGAGCTCACCAGTGACAGCGGGTTTCTGGGCTGTCCGGGTAAGATGCAGCTGGGGGAGAGCAAGACGGGGCAAGCCGACATGAAGGGGCAAGAAGTCTGCAGGGGCCCGGCATGCCAGTGGGCGGAAGGGCACAGCCCCCTTCTTCCAGTCTCCAACCCCAGGGGCTCAGAGTGAAAGGCGGAAAGGGTAGCACCTGGAGGAACAGAGGCGGGGAGAAGGTTCTAGGCGTCTGCCTGTGGTTGGGCCTGCTAGGGCTGCCCTGACTGAGCAAACAGACAGGATGCCCAGAGATGGTGGGAGGGCAGGGGCCCATAGAACGAGGCTCTTCATCTGGTATCTGGGCCCCTCTTGGGTCTCGAATTTCAGATGAGGGAAGCCCTTGGCGTGGGCCCCTCACGGGAACGCGCACTCTCCGATGTCCTGTGTCTCATCTGCACAGAGTAGGGCAGGAGGGGACAGTGGAGCTGGTCTTTGGGGGCTGCTGCCCGGCCCAAGGCATCCCGTCCACCCTGGTCTCCCCTATGGGTGGGGTGCGCTTGGCTCAGGGTCTCCCCAGGCCTTAAGGTGGTAAAAGCCCCCGTGTGTGCAGTTCACCCTGAACCCCAGTCATCTGAGTACCCGTAATATGCAGGCCTCAGGCGGACCCAGGAGCAGAATGGAAGGCAGGGCGTTGTCAGGGTCATCGGCAAACAAGCCCTCTCCTGTCCATGAGGGAGAGCCAGCAAGACCCAAGGGGGGGGGGCCCAGATGCCAGATGAAGAGCCTCGTCCTATCGGCCCCTGCACTTCCACCATCTCTAATTACGCCCCCAAGGAAGTACACCCTGACCCCCTCCAGTCTCCTCTCTGAAGACACTGGCAGCTCCTGGCACATCAAGGACCCAGAGATAACACCGCAGGGAATGAGCGGTTCCGGCCAGTGCCGCGCTCGCACGCACCCAGGCCAGGGGTGCAGGAGCCCTGCTGGTGGAGGGGCCGCCCTCGGTTTTCCCAAGACTCGCCACCCACTTGACACGTGCCCAGTTGGGGCACAATGGCTGGAGCGGGCACCCAGTTTCAAGTTTCTTGGTAGTCATAGCAATGGTTGGCATGCCAACCCAGGAGCTCCCAGAAGAGGGGGCTCTGGGGGAATGGAGCAGGTGTGGGGGCCGGTTCTGAGACTCTAGTTGGTCTCCCTCCTCTGCCTTCACCTTGGTTTTTAAAGACCAGGTGCATCTCAGGCACAGGGGGTGAAACCGGAAACACAAATGGGGAGAAGGGAGACAGAGGGGGTGGCCTTCTGGGGCCTGGAGCACCCCAAAGGCACAATCCTGTTTCCTCAGCCCCAGCGTCACCCCGCGCTGGTTAAACCCTGTCACCTGTGTGACAGCTGCGGGGTCATGGTGCCTCAGGACCCGGGGTGACAGACTCGTGGGACTTCGGTCTCCACCACTAAGGACGTCCAAGCCACAGCGACCTCCTGGGAGCGCAATGTCTGGCAGCTGCCCTCCTCCCGCACGCAGGACTGAGGGGTGTGGCGGCCACAGCCATCACCGCAGGTGCCGTGCCTGTCTCCCTGCACCCCAGGATCCCGGGAATGCCACTGTGCAGTCCGGCCGTCACCAGCCCACACCCATCACCGGTATCCCGAAGGGGCCGTGGCCAGCCACTTGGTGTCCGACAGCAACTGCGATGGGTTTCTGAGGTCATGTCCCCGCAGTATTTTATTTTGAGAAATTTCAAATTACAGAAAGCCCCAAGATGGGCCGTAGAGCGCGTGACACCCGCCCCCCAGCGTGAAGCCTGCAACCTCGGAGGAGAGAGCCGTCTTCCGTGGACCCCACCTCATCCCCCAGGAGACGGAGCGCTGGTGACAGGTCACCAGGTCCCTCCCATGCCGCCGCACACTCTACTGCGCCTTCCCCTGGGAGGCGGGGGGGCTCGGGAGGGCACGTAAACTTGTCAGAAACAAGAATGCAAAGTGGAACTGCAGCACATCACAGACTTTGGACCAGAAGTGGCCCGTGAGCCGCCGGAAGAGGCGCCACTGAGCGAGCTCGTGGTCGCACAGCTTGAGGCCCACGAAGCCCAGGCAGCAGAGCATGGCCAGAGCCAGGTAGGTGCCCGAGGAGGCGCTGCCTCGGCGCCCATGGGCATGCAGGGCCTGGCCCACGGCGGCGGCGATGTGTGCGCCCAGCGCCACCTCGAACCCACGGGGGTGCAGCAGAGCCAGGCCGTAGCTGCTCAGGGACAGGGCCTCGATGGCGAGGAACAGGCAGGGCCGCCAGCCCCGGTCTAGGTAGAGGCACCAGACCACCGGCCATGCGAAGATGGGCAGGGTGACCCACTGGTCCAGCAGGGCGGCGGGGCGGGCCTGTGTACCGATGCGCAGCCACTGCACCGGGCCGTAGAGCAGGGCCATGACGGCAAACACGTTCTTCAGGTATCGCAGCCGCGGCGGCTCTGCGGGGCTCCCTGGGCCGCCAGCACTTCTCCAGAACCAGTACAGGCCCAGGAGCACGTAGGCCAAGTTAACGAGCGAGTTGAAGGGCATGGCCAGGCCGGCGGGGAGGCCGGGCACCGGGGCCTCGGCGTAGTGCTCGTAGCCCACCTGAACGGAGACGCCCGCGAAGACGCCCGCGCGGATGGCGGCCACGCAGAAGCTGGCGGCCACGGCCACGTGCAGGAGGGCCTGCCCCGACTCGGGCAGCATCTTGGGCGGAGGCGCCAGAGGGCCGCGGCAGCGGCGACTTCAGAACTCGGCTCAGGCGCTTCTGCCGGACGTCGTCGCTGCAGCCGGGCCGGCAGGAAGCAGCGCCGCGCCAGAGCCGAGGCAGGGGGCGGCTGGCTGCTCTGCAGGGACCAGCCGCTGCTCTCTGTGGTTACAAAGAGTGTGGTTAGAAACAAAACCGGCCCCCAAAGAGTCTCCCTCTCCCCAACTCAGCCTCAGGCTCCACCAACGGTTTTCAGCAGGAAAAGGAGAGATACAAGCGGGGCTCGCCTGGCACGCCTGGCACGCACGCGGCCGCCGGCACCCCCTCCCTGCCCACCCGCGAGCCGGCGCACCTCCGCCGTCCTTCCGCCTGGAATCCCGCGCAGCGCCCAGCTCCTCTCAGGCTGCCTGAACGGGCCAGCCTCTCTCGGGTCATCGCTACGAGGCGCAGCGGGCTCTCCCCCCCCAGCGGGATTACAAACGTTTCCAGGCCCGCCCCGGGGCCCGACCCACGCCCTTTGAACTGAACACCCGGTGGGGATAGAGACCGTCAGAGGCAGTCCAGCTTCTGGAACCCGAGAGAAAGGACAGCTTGACTTGGGTGGGGAGGGGGAGGCCAGGCGCGTCTCCCCTTCGCTCCTGTGTGGGAGGCCAGCCGGCTGTGGAGGCTGCTCCTCTGCCCCGAAACAGCCGCCGGTCCCCGCAGTCACGACCAGACCATTTGAAACCAACAGGGACTCCGTGTGGACTGTCCCCGGCTTGGCGGCAGCCACAGTGGATTCGGCCTAATAGCCAAGAAGCAAGTTAATGTTCACGAGAAGGGGTTCAATGCTCTGGAAATGATGCAAAGCCCAAGGACAGGCGCCGGGGACACTGAAACGCCAGCTCCCCCGTACCAACTGCGTGGCCTTGGGCCTTGACCACTCCGGCCTCCTGGTTTGGAACCAGCTCCGCCTGCTCAGGGCCACGGATTCCTGAGGCTCTATGTCCACCCCTCTCCTACACAGGGGCCCTGGCCTCCTGCTGGGCCTGAGGGCTCCAGCCCCCCAGCCCCTCCCTGGCTCCGCAGCTCCTGACCCCTCTTGTCGGGGTGGCCCCTGCCCCACAGCATCCCCCTCCAGACAGGCCACCAGTGTGCACGGCCCCCCTGTCTCAACCCCCTGCACCCATCTCGCCAGCCTCTGCTAGCATCGTCAGTGGCTGGCTCCCTGCTCCACAGCCAGGCTACGCGTGCCCCCCACGGGGCCAAAGTGGCCCCCCGGTCCAGATGGGCCCCCCCACCTGCTACTGCAGGCCCCCTGTGCTGGCCTGCTCGCTTTCTCAGCGCAGCTGCGGGTGCCTCTCTGGCCCTTCCCCATCCTGCTCCTCGCTCGCCTTGCATGCACCCGCCTGGGGCCTGTCTCTCTGGTGTCTGGTGGGAAGCTGGGGGGGAGGGGGCAGGTGCCAGATGCTGTCAACTTGGCAAGGCAGCCCAGGGAGGCTGGGAAGCCAGCACCCTCTCTGGCTGCCCGGCAGAGTCTACCTGAGCCAGGGCGCCTGCTCAAATGGTCAGGTCATCACACCAACCTGCCAAGCAACCAGGAGGCCCAGGGTGGGTATCTCGTGGCCTCCCTCCTCCGGAACCCCACTGCCATGACCCTTGTTATGTGACAAAGGTTTCACAGCTTTCCTCACAAAGGCGCGACAGCATTAGCCTGAGGTTCTGGGCCTTTTGAGAAAAAGGACGCCCAGCCCAAGGGGTAACGCCCTGGCCCTTAGCCCTTCCAGCTTCCTGGGGTCGGCACCGGTACCGCTGCCTCGTGTCACAGTGGCGGCTTCGCGAGCCTCTAGTGTGTCTGAGCCCTGACCAGCCTCGCTGCCCTCTGCAGCGAGGGAAGGGGACCAGCGCCAGCGCGGTGGGGAGGGCCAGCCCCGCCGGGAGCGCGCAGCGCGGGGACAAGCTCGGCCCAGGTGCGGGCCAGGCCCCTGGAACCCTTAAGCTCAGCTGCTCCTGCTGGGCGGGCGCTGACTCCAGCCAGAGGCGAGGGCGCCGTCCTGCGGTGTCACGGGCTCGCGGGCCCGGGCGGGTGTGGTGCGGCCACGTGCTGCTGCGTTCCGGGCTGAACAACGCCCCGCAGGCGCGTGGGCGGCGGGCGCAGGGAGGCTCGCTGCCGGCCGCGGCCTCCCCTCTGCTTTGCTGAACAGCAGGGCCCGCGCCGAGGGCAGCGCGGCCCGCGATCCGCCGCCCGCGGGGCGACGCCAGTGGGAATCCTCTGCGTTCGCTCGCTCGCTCGCGGCGCCACGCAGGGGCCGCCACGACCCTGCAGGGGCCCTGAGGGAGGGGCGCGGCGACCAGCGGCCTCCTGCGAGGCTCGAACTCGGGCGCGAAGCGGTACCCACCTCGCGGGCCGTTGTGGAAACTCACAGTATTGGCGCGAAACGGCCGGCGAGCCCCATCCGGGTATCGCGCCTCTCCCCGCTGGGGAAATTCAAATCTAGAAAAAGGGCGGACCCGAAGGGCGCCGTGCGCCTGCGCGCGGGGCGGGGCGCGCGGCTCTGGGAAGCAGGCGGAGCAGGGTGACGCGAGGTGACGCAGACCGACGCCGGGCTCTCCCGCGCCCGCCCGCTCGGCTCGGGCGCCCCGGGACCGCCCTGCGGATGGCGGGGCGGGGGTCGGCCTGGCGCGCGGGGGCCGGGGCCGCGAGGCCCGCCCCTCTCGCGGGCGCGAGGGCGGGGGCGGGGGCGCACGGGGCGGGGCCAGAGTGCCTGGGAGCCGGCGGCGGCCCCGCCCCCTGCGCCGCGCGCCCGTTGCGTCACCGGCGATTCTCGCCCCGCCCCCGCGCGCCGCGGGCGGGGGAGCCCGTGCCGCCTCTCCCGCGATCGCTGGCCGTGAGGCGGGAAAGCGACCGCCGCCCGTCCGAGACGTGACGCTTGTGGCCCCCACTGCCACCACTCAGCAAACGCCCCAGTCCCCACTGCCAGTTAAAGCCAACTCTTCGGCTCCTCCCTTTAGCGGCCCGGGGATGGGGGGGGGAGGAACAGCTCCAAGAAGGGCGGGGCAAGCGCCTGTTAGACAAACTCATCCGGGCATTCCCCAGATGCCGCAGCCGCCATCTTTGTTTTGTGCTGAAAGTCGCTATTGACGCCCGCGAAAGACCGGGCGAGGGGAAGTGGAAAGATGGCGGCTCCCAGGGCGGAGGCGTGGAGGCGCGCTAGGGGGCCGCGGGGCTGGGCGCGCCTGCGCCTGACCCGACCGCGGCCTGAGGACAAGCCCAGAGCGCGGCAGCCCGGGTTCCTAGTCGCGAGGGAACACGGCCTCGGTCTAGAGGCGGAACGGTGCGAGGGCGGGAGGGGGGGCGCGGTGACGTCTCCTGACTCCTCCCCCTCGCCCGACCGCCGCCGCCGCCATGTTTAGTTGTTACTTCTTCACACAAGATGGCGGCTCCCAGGGAGGAGGCATGAGCGCCCTGCCGTTACCGCTCCTCCTGCCGTACAGTTGCCGCTTCGGGGCCTAACTCTGGCTCTTTGGAGCGGCTCCTGTGGGAAGGAGTCATAAGGAGGGAAGCGAGGATCGGACACTGCTCTGCGTCTGGTTTGCAGCGGAAGAATTGACTCAGGAGGAAGAGAATAGGGGGGAAGGGGGAGCTAGTCTCAAGATGGCGGCTCCCAGGGCGGCAGGCGCAGCCTGAGCAGCAGAGGCGGACTAAAGGAAGAGGTTCGAGACCTCACGAGCCGTACGGCGCGAGCTCCCGAACAGCCCCCGAGAGTTTGAGCTCGGTCCAGTGGCCTCCGGCGCGCCTTTATCCCTTACGAGTGTCGAGCCTGTTCCGGGGACGGCGGCTACACTAAGCGCTGGGCGGGGAAGCGGCACGGTCTCAAGATGGCGGCTCCCACAATTGTGGTCTGAGCGCCGGCGGGGCTGGGACAACCGCGGCGCTGGTGGCTCTTTTCCACCCGCCCCGGAAGCCGGCCAGTACTGGGGACTGGGGGGTGTGGGAACCGGGCCGGGGCTCCGCCATTTCCGGCGGGGGAGGGCTTCGACTGAGGAAGGGAGGAGAGAGAGGCGGCTCAAGATGGCGGCTCCCAGGGCCTCCCGCCCGAGTTTGTGAGCGGGGGCGCCCGGGCAAGTAGTCAGGGCGGCGGAACCCGGCGGCCTACAGCTTCTCAGACCTCGGCGCTCGACAGTTTCGGGAGGCTTTTGAGGACACGCGGTGAGCGAGAAGAAGGGGAAGAGCCAGAGGGAAGGAGGGTAGTTAAGATGGCGGCCTCCATGGAGCCGTCCACCGCTGTGTGAGGAACCGCTTCTCCGTGAGCGCTGCCTTAGACGAAAGGGGGTGTGTGTGCGAGGAATTGGGGGGCTCCTTTCCCGCTTGGTGACATTTTCCCATCGCGCCCTTTCTCGGAACTATGGCTTCGGCTGTGTCGCCCGCCAACTCGCCAGCGGTGCTGCTGCAGCCCCGCTGGAAGCGAGTGGTGGGCTGGTCGGGTCCAGTGCCCCGACCCCGCCACGGCCACCGCGCCGTGGCCATCAAGGAGCTCATCGTGGTGTTTGGCGGCGGCAACGAGGGGATAGTGGACGAGCTGCACGTGTACAACACGGGTGAGTGCAAAGCCCGCGGGGCCCTCGGGTCTTTCCCTCCCTCCATCTCCCTCTCCCCTCCCGCCATCCATCTCCTCTCTCAGCCTCCTCCCTCCCTCCCTCCCCTTCTTCCCTCCCTCGCCCTCCCTCCCCTTCTTCCCTCTCCATCCCTCCCTCCCCCGCTCCGCTACCTCCTCCCTAACCTCCCTTCTCTTCCCTCCCCTGCAGCCTTCTCCCCGCTCCTCTCTTCCCTCGCTCGCCCTGTGCTCGGACCGGCTCACTCCACCCCTCTGCGACTGGGTGCTCTTCCGAGCGTCTCTGTTTTGCCTCACCCCCCCCCTTCTTACACCCCCTGACTCTCCTGTGTTTGAGGGTGCTTTTCATTTCTGGGGAGGAGCCCTCTAGTCCGAGCGGTGAGGAGGCGAAGGTGTCACCATCGGTGGTGACCTCACACTTACGCCGTTACCGGGTCTGGCGGGCGCACCAGCACGCTGGGTCCCTTTGGTGCAGGCCGGTCCCCGCCTTGCCGCCTTGCTCTTGCGCCTGCGCCTGCTCCAGCCCCCCCCAGCTGGGGGCTCTTTGGGAGACATGACAACTTCAAAATTGCAGATTAGTTCTGTCTTTAGAAGCACTGGCAGAGCTGCGCGGCCTGACCCCCAGCTGGGTGGGTGCTGTGGTAGGTGCAGGCGCCTTGGCACCCACAGATCGGGCGCGGGCGGCTTCAATGCCTCCCTGTTGCCATCTCCTTCTGCAGTATTTCTCTTCGGCTGGTCTGTCTTCTTGACTCGAGGCCCGCTGACTCGGTAGGGGTGGAGCCCAGCCTTCTGCAGCGGCCTAGGTCTCCCTGACCTGACTCCCCTCTCCCTGTGAGGTTGAGAAGGTGACCGTGGCTGCCAGTTTTCCTGCCTCCCCCAATGCCCAGGCCTGGTGGGTGGGCCAGTCCACTGCACTGAAGGCTCTCTCTGCCTGCTGGCGCCCAGCTCGGTACACCGAGACCCCCGCCCATCCGGGCGCTGCCCTCAGGAGCCCGCCGGGCTCTGGGAAGAGTGGGTCTGGGTCCTTCCATCCTGGGCGAGAGCCCGAAGCACCAGGGTGTGGCTAGGGAGCCCCCAGGTCAGATGGTGAGGTGGTCTGTTGGGAGCTCCCCTTCTTGGCAGGTCTGCAGCGCCTGCATCTTCCAGCTGTGAGGCCCAGGAGAAACAGGTTAGAGTGGTGAGGGCTTGGTGCTCCTCTCCCCCAAGGCAAACAGTGGTTCCCTCTGCTCCTTGGAGGTTGTTGACGCCACCAGGTTGACTTTCATGGGCTGGTGAGTGGCAGGTGACCCTTGGCGTTCTGGTCGTAGCACCTGTTGCATCTATGAGGCCAGGCTGGCCAGTGGCACTCGGTGCCAGCCCAGACAGCTGCAGTGCCAGGAAGACCCAGGGTCAGGGCTGTCT